GAATAAAAATAAATTAAACAAAAAATAATTTAACAAAAAAATTTTCGCATTCTTCTTTATCCCCCCCACTCGAAAACTTGCTGCGCGATCCCTGTGAAAAACATTTTATTTGTAGTTTTCAATGCACGTGATACACGTGGCTTTTTGTTTGCTTGTACAGTACGAAAAAATGTTTCTTTTTAGTCATATCTAAGCGAGAGAAGAATTGAAATATTTCTTACTAAAATAATGACAGCGGTGGAATTTGAAAAGTAGCACCTTAGACCCCTCGGTCACGCTTTCACACGTCTTTTCTCTATTGTTTGATGATACGTAGAGGTGATAAGGTAAGGCAACCTTCATGATTAGCAACGAGGCCACAAAGGCACGTCCATTCGGTCTAATTTCGTTCTTGGAAACCCGTATCGATCACCATTTTAATAAACAGGTTCTTTGCACGACCATACAGTATCACATGACTTTGCCAGTCGAAAGAAATGGTCGAGTTAAAGCCTTCAGTATTTAAGTCTTTCAAAACTTTTAACTTATTTCAGAGACTGGAACCTCGTACTGATTAACAGGAAATGCAAATAATCTTTACTCATTAATAGTTTGCTTACACAACCTAAATGAACAGCTGTTCTCCGCTGGCTTAATCAACAGGGGTTTACATCTGAACTTCTTCAATCAGTATAGCATTCGCATCAAGTAATATCCGACGGAAAAATCAAGACAAAAAATGAAGACATTGGCGCTAATCAGACTCAGCAAATTAGGTACAACAGGTTATGAGATAATTTTTTTCTCTTCAAAGGATTAAAATGATACTGATTGAAGTGGAAATAGTCTTTTTTTCATAGAGCTTGCAGCAAAATAAAAGTTGTCAAACCATGGTTACAAGGAAAATGATCACAACAAAAACAAATGTATTATGTTCAAGGATGTTTCTGTGAGCTTATTACTAGTTCCCATGGAAATAAATCAACATTGGATTCAAACAGCAGCTTTAAAATTATGTTTTGGTGACTTGCAGTCTTTGAAATTACACAAAAGTTTGAATTACGCCTGTTTAATTCAGAATGTTTCCCTTTTTTTCTAGTCCCGGCGTTAAGTACTACTTAGTCAAGGTCGTGACTGTATTGAATGAATATTGACTAGTATCCTTAAAAATATCACAATATCAAGGGTATCAGTGCTATATAACTACTTGAGACCCTAACGTTAGTAAACTAAACGGTCAACGCAGGTTGATCGAGTAACATCGCCTAATTAATTGGACAAACGCAAGGATTGCAAAATGACCTCTAAAGCTCTTCTTCTTCTTTTCTTCATGGTGCAATTAGGCCAACCACTCTGTGGTTTACCTTTGGAAAGGCGAGATGGTGAGATATGTTTGTTAACGATCATGCAGTCTTGTTAATATTTCTTGACGTGTACACGGCTTGCTGGGAAGCCTTGCTTCAATTTGAATTAGAGTATTTTTATTTCTGCCTGAGAATGGAAGCCAAAGAAAAAAGATAAATCTGTTCTTACTGCTTAATTTAATCATCTTCATCAAAAAAAAAAAAAAAAAAAAACTGTAAATCTAACTATCTTCTGTATGCCTTATTGTAGTTAGTAAGGAAGATAAAATCAAAGTACTGCAACCTAAACAGTGGGTTGATGAGCAAGACTAGAAATTTTAAAGAAGCTAGCCTTAAAACAGCTATAAAATTAGAAGGCTGATCAAATTATCTCGGTTAGGGGGTTTGACAACCGAGGAGAATAGGAAGCCTACCAACCTGTCTTTTGACGTTCCATAATCGCCGTGTGTCATGTTTTGATCCCCTTTTCTTCACTTTTATACGAGGACCACTCAAACGTCTTGAGGTCATCGACAGGCAATCTTATAGAAATGATAACTTTTTCCGAAACATGTTAATACCGTATTTAACTCATTTCCTTACAGACGAGGGAGACGATGGTGACCAAGGATTACCTAAAGACGAAAAGGATGATGATTTTCTTAAAGATATTAACGATAGAGATGTCGATGGTGAAGAGGAAAAAGAAGAAAACGACTATGGAATAGATGATGCAGATGGCCAAGTTAATGGAGGTAGATTCAGAAACAAGTCAAATGATAACAGTAGCGACAAAGATACAGATGATGGCAGTCATGAGAGTGGGGATGACAAGGATGGTGAGAATGTTGGAAAAGAAAAAGAGGACGATGATGACACTCATGATGATGATGACGAGGAAGGTAAGAATGTTGACAAAAATCGCCATGAGGAAAGCGATGGAGATGACAATTACAGCGAAAATGGGTACAGTGGATACAAGGACCACGAGAAGGACGACGATGATGTTGACGATGACGACGACAAGAATGATGAAGACAGCGACAACACCAATGATGATGATGATGATGATGATGATGATGATGATGATGAAGGTGATGATGACAAGGAAGACGAGAAAGATGGAAGTGGTGTTGAAGACGAAGATAAGGAAGATGGCAGTGGTGTTGACGAAGGCGACTTTGACGATCAGGGTTACGAAAGAGGGAACAAAGAAGGGGATTGGCCGAAGAGTGGTGACGTTATGGACTTGTTTAAATCTGACGCAGTTTCATCTTTTAAAGGACTTTCTATTAAGTATTTAAGCATTTCCACCTGTATAAGTGGCATTTTAATTGGCTTTCTTCATTAGCTCAAACTACCAAAGCCCACAGGTGTTAGCTATGTTTGAAATTTTCCTGTTAATTTATTGAATAAAAAGGAGTCAAATGTTTCAGCCCATCCTGTCAGCTTGCCTTGTATATATGGTGCCACCAACCGTTTTTGTCATCCTGTATAAATGATGTAAAGAAATAATTAATTTTTCAGTGAAGTACTTACCATCATAACCATGCACTTGTTTTACAAGTATATGAAGACTTGTTCTACAAATTCAATATAAATTCCTCCTTATATTTTTGTAACTGAGGTGCTCATGTGTGGTATTAAACAATTGGATAAATTGAATAAATGAGGACAATAGCGAAGAGTTCTTATTTTCACTGAGCCTCTTATGAAACTTTGATTTTGGATCACAGGTGTTCTCACTTCTTTCAGATCTCACGTCGACATTCAGTTGAGACCCCGCTGCGAAACGGGGAAGATTAGCCATCAAATGAGGCCCAGCTTCTCAAGAAAAAGATAGTTCACAGTTAACGGATCATTTTTATTTACTATATGTTGCTGAACGCATATAAAAAACTCAAATAAACCCTACTCAATGAAGAAATGGTCACATTTTAGCCTTCTTTCATATGCAGATGTATCTTTATTTTCCATTTCATCTTTTCATTGATGGTTGCTTACTGCATGACATAACTTGCCCCATTCGAGTAATACTTCAGAAACGACTGATCACAGCTTTCGTTCTTCAGTTATAGTGGACATATACAGATACTTCCGCACCCAACACACGTGTAATTTTTATTGACCAAAATGGATAAGTTATTGTCTATGAATACAATTTGAGGGCGCCTGCGTATTTTTTTTCTTTTGCCATTTAAAAGTCGTGCCTATCTTGTGAGTTAAGATTTTTCTTACGATATGATATTGTAACATCTTAACTTAATTTATATCACTCAGCAAACACATTGGAAGGACTTGAAGCAATAGATAAACTGTAGACCTAGCTGAGTTTTTATCTGGTGTTAATTGGTGCTTTGCCGCCGCGGCATGACGGTGCAGATAAAGCGGAAGTAAAAAAAATAAAAACAATTTTCAGTCTATTGCATTCTCCAAAGTTATAATTAAATGTACAACGCACGATGTTTGCCTGGAGGTCATAGAAATAGGAGAAGTTAAATCGGTACGCGTATTAGATCAATATTTTCCTACTGTCTGTTGACGAATGTTTGTTTCCAGGATAAAATTAAATCGCCTCCGTAAATACTTGTAGAGCCGACCAAATTATTTCATGGGATGTTATGCTGAACTTGGCGGTACAAATTCGGTTTGTTTTTGAAGATATGCTGTAGCTTTATGGTGTTAAGTGACCGAGAAATATCCATGTGAACTGGATGTATGGTAACTTTGTTTGATCAGTGCCTGTAATAGCAACACGAAATATTTGCCCGATCGTTTAATCGCCGGGGGTCATATTAGTGAGATCGGCAGTCTAATTAGGTCAATATATGTCATCCGATGACGAATGTTTTTCCTGTGCCAAAATTGGTTGGCCACGAAAAGTAACTCGTACAGGGTAGAGAGTTTCACGGAAACCATGACACGATTTAAATCCTGTGTTTCATGCCAATTTTAACTTTCTTTAAAGCTTAATCAAAAGTCAGGAACACTGCTTAGATTGACAGAAGGAACGTATTTCAAGGATTTACCAATTGACCTTAATTAATTTGGTCAAGATGCACAAAAACATTCAATTTGTGTGACGGGAGTAGTTGCGGATAATCATATTAGTTGGATCGGTAGTATATTTGATTTAATATCTCCCGGCTGTCTGATGAATTGTATTTGTTTCCCGACAATGAGTATTTTTAGAAGTCAGAGGGTTTCAATAAGTATATGAAACGATCTGTAACTTGGGTGCTGGTGAGCTAAAAAAAAGTCGTCAATATTGTGGCATTTCTTCGATATCCTGAAAATTAGTATATGTCTGCTAGTTACCAGCAAGCACCGACAAATTTATTTTTCTCTGGCGGTTGCCGTGACTCTTGCTCGTGTTTTTATGTTCTAAATGTTTCTCATGCACCATCTTAACCAGAGAATGAGAACCTAAAGTCATTATGCTCATTTCAATAATTGCTGACTTCGTAAACTGTGAGAATTACTTCAAGTTTCATTCGTAGGAATGCGTTAATACGTTTTTCCTGCAACATAGGTTGCGTCGAGGTAAACATCTAAGATGCCTCCTTCACTCAGCATCCGCTCTGACTTCACTAGTTGGTCATAAAGATTTTTTGTTAGTAATAAGGGGTGTTTGATTCTTAGTTTAATGAACTTTGCTAACCTCTGCAATTTTTCTTCAATTAATCTATTGATAAAACGTTCCTTAATAATCAAGTGGTCACATAAAAACCCTGTAAAGATAGTGACTATGCTCAGTTTCATAAATCGAAGGCTATCGATTGTAATAAGGTTTTCTAAACAAGTTTGGAATATTCCGAGCTATATAAAATTTCGTTGATCTGTTTAAGTTCAAAATTACAAGTGAAGAGATCTTGAAATCCAATACGTTATCCAAATCAATTATATCAATGCCGAAGTTTCTTCACTCAAGACTTGATACTGCATCCTAAAGATTGTCACTTCGTTGGCAAGAAATATTGTTAAAAGTGTTAAGCGAGTTAATTGTGAGAAAATAAGAATCTTTCTCGTTTTCTTCTTTATCTGCATTACAATTATTTCTTTTCCATGGATAGTAAGTTTTACAAACATCCATAGGCCACACAAATGTTCTAAAAGAGGATTCCGTGCCCACAATTTTAAAAGCACAGGCCAGACTTGAGCAAAGATCATATTGCAAATTGGTGAATAAATGGATTAAATAATGATTGGGGCGGAGGATGGAGGAAGCAAAGAAGAGCTTTTGGAGGAAGCAAAGAAGAGCTCTTGGAGGCTTCATAATAAAATGTATTGGAACACTTTTTATCGATAGTTGGCACTGAATTGAACTCGAAATACTGACATCAATGACTTCAGCCCTCAGAAATATTTTTGACACTTAATGGCAATGCAGAGGGGTCGTGCAAATAACTTGACAAAACTGGAAAACAGTTTAATGAGGAGATCGTAATTAGCTAAACTTTTATTTCAAAGGACAGTGGAAGTTTAGCGGCGATGAAATGGGAAAGTAACTTGTAAATGGCGATGAAATGTGGATGCCTAAGACGAAAAAGTGGGGAGGAGTGCGCTGTGGCTGTATTAATTATGAATTATCTTCTTTTCTGAATGTTATTAATGCTGCTCGGTGATATTCTTATTTGCAGGAATGTTTACTACCAGGAAAGGAGAAATAGTACATTTTGAGTTTGTCTGACCGATAAAAAAATATGTTTTACGTTTGGTCAAAAGAGTGTGACAATAGCACCAAAAATGAATCATTCAAATTGAATTACATATATATTCTATTGAGAGTTATCAAAGTAGAAGATTCGTGTATTGATGTACATAAGAGAATCACTTAGGTTAAATGCAAGAGGTTAAAAAAAATAATTCCTTTTAGAAGTGTTAAGTCTGCTCTAATTTCCCTCCTTTTCCATTTTATAAACTATTTGCTATTTTTTAATAGTTATTGCAATGTACTTTTCTATGATTGTGAATAAGATTTTTATAAACTGGCCTTCTTAGACCCGCATTAGCCGCCCTTGGTCCAAGAGAATATTGTGCCTCTTCATCGAGACGATAAGTACAATAAAGATTGATCGATTGCAAAAAATCTTAGACCTTACCCTGTGGATTAAACAACCCTGCAAAATCAGCCTTCTATTGGTTGCCCATCGCATTGTTTTGGCACATAATTTAATTGCACTGTAAATTCTTTTTCCAAATGTAGATATCGCCAATTTATTTTCAAAAAGCAAGGCTCACACCTCTGTTCACCTATGATGTTACTTTCGGACGCTGGTATGTCAAGTTTTAACCGCGTTCGATTTGATTTACTAGTGTGAAAATAAACTGATTAAAAAGACAGGAGCTAGTCATAATAGAGCACTCACTAGCAAATAGCTTGAAAACCAATTTGAGGAATATCTCCTTACTTTAGTTGAGATGATTAAACAAAGATTTGCAACGGTCTCAAAGACCTAAAGATTTTAAATTTTTGTGATGAGGGAAAATTTAATTTTGTAAAAAAATTTACAACGAAACTACACCGACAAACAGGTAGACAAACAAACACGTCGCGATTACTCGATATTGTCTACCATGTAAACTTAGTTGTTGTTTAGAAGTTGAAAAATCCCGATTGTGGAGTCTTTGAACTTTTTACCGCGGTAACCACAAAATTGATTATAGAATAGCGAATCCTAGCTTCATGTCCTTCCAGAAATGAACTGGTGGCACAAAATACTGGGTAGGCGGTATTCTAATACTCATCCTCGGTGGTGATGACTAACCGGCTAAAAAACAAACGCTAATTTTTTTGTTACCGACAAGATGGAAAAAAATTCAAGGGACGAAACATCGACATTTACACATTTGACGTTGCCAGATTATTAACCTTAATAAATATTTGATTTGATTAATTCATCGTTAATTTATTATAAACGCCTTGCTTCCGATGATGGGTATTACAAATTACCGCCCTTTCAGTATTTTATGCCGCCTATTTCAAGTAGAGGGATAAAAAGTTAGGATTACTTTAAAATTTTCTTTTATGAGCATTTTGCTGGCTACTGCGGTGAGTAGCTCAAGAGGCTTTTTTCAATGCCGAATTAGCATATTTTTTGTCATTCTTTTCAGGGATACCTATTTTAATACATTCACTTGCAAAATAAAAAGTTTTTAAAGCTGTTGTACTTTAATTTTCAGTTACATAAACCTTTTTCTCAATAGGGTCAGTAGGTCGGTAGATATTCCATGGAGAATGCATACAGATACGTACTCTAAGATACCGAGTGCGTCATAACCTTATTTGGTAAAGCTCTTTAGCCATGCGGTTAGAGAAAATAATATTTTTTTCCAAGGCGGTAAAGCGGTGTACGTGTTGTTGAAGCGTAATGATACCGAATTGTTGTTTTTTTTTTTTCTCCAAAGACACAAATTTCCCTCACTGGTGACGTATTTTGTTGATCATGAAAAATAGAAGGATTAAGCCAATCCCACAAACATTCATTTCAGATAAAATGATATATCTTTTGGAGGGGTACAGTTATGCTCGTATGAGCTGAGCACATGGGAGTATGTTAGAACAGAACATTTGTAATGTTCGGCTTTAAACAAGGTTGTAAATACGTTAACTGAATCAGCCTTGTGACCGTGTACATCATAAGACAAGCAGTTAGAATTAAAAGCAGCAAAAGCCCTTTTTAGGCTTACACTTATAGGGACTA